TTCATGTAGAATATCTGGAAGGTAGAACAAGAGGAAAGGATTAACAAAAGAGGGAGAGTCTTTCTCTGTTGACACGAAAAAATAATATTGTTTGTGGTAACTTTTTCTTTTTTTGTGATCTATATCTGGATGAAGACAGCTTATCCACAGGCCTTTGCATTTACACCTGGTGTGACTAAGCATTCTTGTTAATTGATGGAGGTTTGTTGCAGTCAGCGAAGGTGACGTTCTGTCACTTGAGCTGCTCTCATTGGCTGTGCTTGGTTTTGAGTTGACCATAGCAGGAAACAAGAGCGGCTTCCAGATCGCACACATTGTCATTTTACACATAAATAGTATACTAGTTGTGATGTTTCTGAAAATATTTTAAGCTTAAAATAGTCAATGCAGTAACAGAATCCTGGTTAATATTTGATCAGCACTACTTAGTTTGACAGTTCTTAGATTTGTGTGTTACGCTGGACAGACTCACTGACTCACAGACTCACAGGGTGTCAGTCACAAGGTAACCACACCCTAAAGCATACCCTGATTTATCATCTATTTTGCTCTAAAACGGGCCATAAATTACAAAATGAACATCATGCTGTGTGTAAGAGAACGTAAAACTAGACATTGAGACCATAAACTCATCAAGAAACCTTTTTCTGAGCTAATAAGTCAAGTAATGGTAATTTCTCCATAAGACTATACTATCTGACTTATTTTTGCAGCCTGTGGAGCTGCCCCCTGCTGGCCATTAGAAATAATGCAGGTGTAAGACACATTGGCTCCACTTCACAGATCCAGAAGCTCTGTCCAAAAATTATATACTGTCATTGTTAAGAAGTAGGCTACCTCATCAACAATACAAAGATCAATAAGTGGACATTTTAGATGAAAGTCCTGCGATTTGTGTGGAATGTTCTGTATGAGTAGCTGTAGCCCTATCTTAACCTAATCTTATTTGTTGAAAATAATCACTAACATGTAATTGTGTTATTGAAGAGTTATGTACAGGTAAAGGGCTTAAAGATGACTTATTATGATAGTAATTAGTCAGGTAGACCCTGAGTGAAATGCTACATGCACATTGTTGTATGTCTATGATTCTTGATGTAAATTTTCATTTCTATTTGAAATAAATTAATAATGACTGCTATCATGGCATTAAAGGAGGCTCAGACCTGGTGTTTGGTGAAGGTGTGAACGAGATTTGCGTTGATGTAGTTGATGGAGATCCCGAGAACCAGAACAATAACATTCTTGGCCACAGCTTTAGAGAAGGAGTCTGGATCCCGACCCACCGCTGTCACATTGGCAGATGATACGTTCATCCCTTGAAAGCTGAAGTTTAGTCTAACAGAAAAAATAATAATAATAATATACAGATATCAGACTCACCGAGTTCGTTCATGGCATGTCGATGTTCTTCATCAAAGGAAAGTTTCATGAGGACGCAGACGGCGGGACAGATCTGATGCTCCACTGGAGACGGCACTGAACACAATATATTTCTATATAAAAACAATATTTCTATATAAAGACAATATTAACATTATACCATGGTCTGGCTGAATATTGGACTCTAATTGGCTGCTTGGTCCATTAATTCTTCTGATGTAGGACACCTAAGTAGTTCTAGTGAAACTGTCTGCTTACCGTTCTAAATTAATGTGCTGAAATAAATTGAAATCTGAATATCTCAAATATATTTCACTACACTGAGTGTACACTGCCCGTCTGAACTCACTGATACTTCTATAATCCATTAGGGGACAATAACATGGCTGATAGCTGCTAATCTTGTTGTTAAACATACTGTCAGATTATATTTAGCTATATTCTGTCAACCGTACAGTGTCTTTGAATCTTGTTAGCATGATGTTAGCTCTCTGGCTTGTCTGTAGTTAAAGTGTAGTTTTATGTCTTGTGTGATTGGTGTTACCAGGGAAACAGAGTTATTGCTTGTAAAAATCTAGATTTTTATTGAAAAATGCTTGAAAATATAAAATAATGACTGATTATTTTTTTCTTTGGCAAGTGACCATGGTATAAGTGGGGTAACGCCAGATGAAGTGTCCATTATAAGGAATTAATGGACGACGTGGAGGCCAGAAACAGTCCGACAAACAGCGCCTCCGTGAAGTCCCAATAAATTCCCGATAATGGACATCTGTCCGGGTGTCTACCTTACATCAACATATAAACAATAATATATATATATATATATATATATATTTATAGTATATATAATATTATAATATATATATATATATATATATATATATAAAGTATATATAGTATATATATATATAAAGACAGTATATATTACACCACTTACTGGGGTTGTCCTCCTGGTCAACGCCCCTCTCATGGTTCTCCTGCCAGCTCCAGCATGCCTCGCAGTAATGACGCACCTGCTCCAACAGGTGGAGCACTCTGATCTCACGCCTGCCTCTCTTGTCGTCCGGCTGACTGTGAACAATGTTGTGCAGTGCTGCTGATGCCCTAGCTCGAGCCTCTTTACTACCGCGAGAGTTACCTGGCCAACGGGAAAAATATTAATAAAAAGGTACCCTGACAGGAAACATTTTACCTCTAGAACAGTGGTTACCTAGCAACAGGGAGTCCTTGTCGTTGCCGTGTAGCAGCTGGATGAGCAGTGGCAGACAGCCAGACTGACGCATGGCAATGCACGAGTCCTGCGAGCTCGACATGGCGAGCAGTGTCCGTGACATGTCGTCTTTATCATGAGTCCCCAACATGGACAGGAGACTGTACACCATCTCCACCTGCAGGGGGCGACACAGAGGCTTATAAGTAGCTATAGGGGGGTTATAAGCACAGTATTTTGGCAGAGGGTTAAGAGAAGGCTGGTAGCAGTGTTACCTTGGTTCCCAGGTGGCTGGTGATCCGTCGAGGCACTGAATAGCTCGCCTCATTGGCCGACTCGTGGTCCAAACGGCTGCTGGAGCTCTGAAGGAGGAATAAAAAAAGAACAATTAAAACAAGATTTCAAAAAAGAAACAGGAAGAAAGAAGGACTGGCCACTCACCTGAGCTCCAGCCAATCCACTGCTGTCACTTGTCCCCTGAGCTTCCTCTACCTGGAGAGAAAGAGCAGAATTAACAGATAAAAACCACAGTTTTATTTGATCAGAAACTAAAACAAGGTCACAGAAAAGGTGTGGTTACCTGCAGGCGAGCTCCCAGTCTCAGGATGTCCTTCTCTATCTGCTGAATACGAGACACACGAGCCTGCATGCACACACACACACAGTGTAAATGTGTGTCCCAACTCTCTACTGAGCATGCTCACTGAAGAGCCAGTGAGACAGACTGACACCTTCAGACAGGTGAAACAGGCTCCAGGTGAGTCCCTACCTGAGCTCTCCTCTCCATCTCCTGACAGGAGCCCAGCTGTTCTTCCATCGCTGACCTGATCTGACGAGCCTCGAACTCCAGCTGACGACGACTCATGTCCGTCTGTAGAGTGAACTACAGACATAAATCTGAGACAGTTCTAGTACTTCTGTGTGGTAGTAAAAATGTACATTAATAAAAGTTGATTTACGTTTTCAGTGAGCGGCAGACTATCGATCCTCTTGGTGAGATTCTGCAGCTGAGCGTAATACCAGTCCTTCTCCTTCTCCTCTTTCTCCAGCTCAGCCAATAGGAGAGACCTGCCAGGCAGCAGCAGCCAATCACAGAGCAGCAGTAGTATTGGTAGTTCAGGTATTACAATAAAGGTAGTACTCTCAGCAGTACCTCTCTTTCTCCAGCTCCTCCAGGCAGCGGTCATGGCTGTCTCTGCCCGCAGAGGGCAGCCCTCTCCTGGGGAAGGCAGCAGTTGTCGGGGGGCCTGGAGCTCCAGAGCCTCCGGCTGCTCCTCCAGGAGCTCCAGAGCCAGAAGAGGCAGAGCTAGAGGACGATGAGGGGGGCACAGGAGGCCTCGACCTGGACTTAAAACCTGCAGAGTCCAGGCTCATCTCTGGAGGAGAGACACAAATGTCGGATTACTCACTGTGTGTGTTTGTGTGTGTACACTGTCAATGTGTGTTTCATTCACCCTTCAGTCTCTCGATGAGTTCCAGCTGTGAGCCAGACGCATCTCCAGACTCTTCTTCTATGGTGCCCTGCAGCTGCTTCAGCACTTCCTGTTGAGTTGTACAGAGTTGCATTATTGAATTCACATTATTATTATGTTAATAAGACAATATATTTTGTATTGTGTGTATATATACACACACACACATATATATTAACTGTATGTATCTACAATCAACTGTACGTATCTGTACTTGGACCAATACTATT